AGAGAGAGAGAGAGAGAGAGAGAGAGAGAGAGAGAGAGAGAGAGAGAGAGAGAAAATAGTAAGCGAGAGAAAGCCTGGTAGCGAACAACCGTAGTAACACGAACTATGGGCCCCATACGTTACGCGCCATATCGTCAGAAGCGAGAGTTACCATTGGGCCAGCCCGTGCACGGGAATTCCTGCGCCGATAATGATCTTCCATTCGCGCCATTGCCGATAGAAATTGATTGCGCCCGAATGCGTCGATCGATGGGGTCGTCTGCACGGACACCGAATTACTGTGTTGGGTATACACGCGTCACGCGTCTAGGATATACAGTATACTCTGGTGCGTGTATAGACGACATGCGTGCATATCCGACGTCGTGTCATACTGATTGTGCATCACTCGCCAGTACGCCAGCGACCGACGGAATGTCGCATAGAGCATCACGGCTGATAGACGCGTCATTCACGGAAGGGTGAAACGACGATAAGGGAATAATATATCGCGGTTCGAACGCGGTGAAGTGAATAATCGCTCGGGAGATTACTGCTACAGTAACGTTTTGTATATTTCCTTTATGCGTATGTATTACCTTTATATCATATCAATATTTTTAGTAGAACGGAATGTAATTCTTTATTTTTTTCTTTTCTTTCCTCTCTGTTTTTATTTCGAATCAGCTATGAAAAAAATAGAATGTCGTAGTATGTTAGCTTTATGCAGATTCCATGACATACATATGTTATCGAGCCATTCGATACGTACATATCGTTACACGGGTATGCATCCTTATTCAATATTCGTAACGGTCGACGTCTCGGCCGTTATCCTAAACACGTACATATTTTACGGATTAATGTCTTATCGGCGATGAGATAGCTCGGCACTTCCGCCTTAGCCGTTGGATACTAACGCGATCAGAACGCGTTCTCGAGCATGAACCAGGATGCCCACCTGCATTACTATACTCCTCGTGGCAAGCGATTCCGCCACGCCCATAAGGGAACTACGGCTGAACTACCGAACAAGAGCCATTTACACAAAAGGCGACGGTAATGGCGAGATTCTTAGCTAGAGTACCTACCCCAAGTTTCGGCCCCCGGAGAAAAGCTGCTCGAGTATCTATACTCTAATAATGCGTTGTTACTGGCACTTACTTAAGCGTACTTGCGACAATTAGGAATTCTAATTACTTTCGTATAGCTGCCAATTCGACTCGAGAACGATCGTGTTATCTCGTGGCGAGAATGGAGCAATTCTAGTGGATCATTGCACTCTTTGAGAAAAAAATATATCATTTCAAAATAAGGTTTTAGTAATGATTTTCCTTCAACGAACTATTTTATTCGCTTTAAAGTTGCTAAAAAAAAATTACAATTTGATTTCGTTTTATCCTTCAGTTCCATTAGTTTACTTGCCGATACTAATACAGTTTGTTAAGACAGAATTTAAAATCACGATCCTGATTTTTATTTTTAGTGCAACAGCTCAATTTTATGAAGAAAAACTTCTATTGGACACATATTCGCTGAATAAAGAGACACGCGGCTTCAGAAATCGCATTT